ACATTTCAAGACCTTCCTTATCTCTTTGAGCACAGTGAAGCCGATCGTTAAGAAGTGGAAGGCACCGAGACACTGTCTAAATCAGGCTGTCCCTCCAAACTGTGTAGCTGGGTGTTGAGGAAAATGGTTAGGGATGCTAACGTGAGGCAAACAGTTTTGAGTCAGTAGCTCAATTAGCTCAATAGCTGATATGAGAGAAAATGTCCATGAGTCAACAATATATTTTCTTCATAAAAGAGCTTGTGCTGAGCTGCAAGAAAAAGCACTTCAAATCCCACATGGGGTTTGCAACAAAGCACCTAATTTATACTCCAAACATCTGGCAAAACGTTTTGTGGTCAGACGAGATTGGAAATATCTGTTTTAATTGCGTTTTAAGTGTTACAACAAACACAAACCTAATATAGTGCGCCACACAGTTAACACCATCTCTAATGTCATGCATGGTGGTGGCAGCGTTATGTTATAGTTGTGGTTCTCAGACTGATAGATGGAACAAAGAAAACCTTAGAGGAAAACTTGCTAAAAACCTAAAAACGGAGTGAAAATTCACCTTTAAAAAGGACAATGATCCAAACCACAAGGCCATAACTTCTCTGGAATGGCTTAAGAATATGAAAGTGAAAGTGAGTCGTAAGTGATCACGTCCTGACTAGAATTTGAGTAAAGAGTTGTAAACTGTTGTCCATAAGCGATCGCCATGCAACTAGAGAGACCTTGAACAAATCTGCCGAGAATACTGGCTTGCCCAAGCCTGTACGAAGCCAGTGCGCAAAGTTGGTAGAGATAAAGTCGTCTTGTGGCTGTAATTGCTGCCAAAGGTGATTCTCATAAATATTGAGTTTACAGACCTGAATGCTTGTGAAATCAACATATTTTAGTTTTTCTCCTTGGTTTTTGCTGAAGCTTATCCTTAGAAGTCTTAAGTTGGAACATTCAGGTTTTGTAAGTGTTGTGTACAGTATCTATTATTTTATAATGTCATGAAAGGGGACACCAAAGGAACGGTCTGCAAGGCAGACTGTACTGCAAATAATATTAATAATATAATAATAATATAATATAACACAGCAGACATTTCACTTATTACAGTTGTCTGTTCACTTATACGTTTTCAAAGGCACGCACATCATATTTTATGACAACGCACAGAAACATTGCAGATGCACTGTAACACTGCTAGAAGTGGGGCATTGGAGGTATCGCGAATTAACACTTTGCTCCTGCATTCACAGTTTCAGTCGATCTTGTGATCTAGGGTAGTTTTAGATTTGGCAAATTTATGGACATAAAAGAAACCTGTGTGATGCTTTAGAAGATTTCTTAATTTTTTATTCTGGTAATACATTAACAATAATGAATGAATGCATTTGTGAAAGTATAATTTAAGAGCTCACCGGCCAGGTTTGAATTAAAGAATACAGAGGTAATAAGAACCAGTTCCTTTATCCCACAACATTACAAAGAACAAACCTTTATCGTCATAGAGTAGGTTCTATATTAACTGTCATCAATGATACCAAGCACTGCTGCACACGGTAATGGCCAGTGATGACCTTTATAACCTCGAGATGGATATAGGCCAAACTTTCCAGGGTCTGACGAAAATTAATCACATATCTGGCTTGACAGCTCAATGGATTTCAAAGAACAACCATCACGGGACTAAGCAGCGTTCAACTAAACGCTGAACAATGTTAAGGATGAGGTATAGCACTATTACAAGACTAATGTTTATACATTCCTATCTGAAATATCATATAAGTATAATAATATTTTTTAATTTAGCCAAGTCAATCCATTTCTTACCTAATCCATATGTGATGCAGTTAATCTTAATAAAATTTATAAACATTTATAGGCTCATAAGAAACTGGGGTTCTTAAGATTACTTAAAATACACTGTTTCCTATAAACCACAGTACAGTACTGTATATATTTCATTCAGATATTTGAAACAAAGAATTCTTTAAGAAATTAAATTTAAAAAAAATGTAGAAATATCTTCTGCCAAGTATTTAAAACATTTTAGAACACAATCTTTGTTTACTTTTTCTGGTAAACAATTACTCACTTTATTCTATCAAAGGACATGTAAAGTAGATTCACCTGGTCTCGCGCCTAATTGATTTATTTGATTAATTTTAAAAAACCATGGAAACAAAGAGACTTTTTAGGCAGGGTCAGTCTGCAGAATCTGTTGATGGGTCCATTCCTTTTTGTGCGCCATATCACTTTCTACCATCAGATAAATGACTCTTGATCTTAGTGTAAATTATAGAAGAATATGATCTCTATGTTTCCAGACACAGCCTAAAGGCAGACAACTGTACTTCTGTCTCTCCTGGCAGTCGATCAGTGATACAGGTGTGCTCAGTGGCAGTCTGGACTGCAGGCCATCCACATGGGTCATGTTTTTTGGGGGAATTACTGAATAAGGATTTTATATTCTGCTTATGTTCTCTGCACCATAGCAGGAATCAATAAAGCCTTTATGTTCTCCATGTCTCATCTCCCAACCAGAGAATTCATAACCCCTAGGCCCGATTCTGACTACTTGCTATCTCTGTAACAGTCTGACACTTGCTAACAGATTAAGCTTTCTGCCCTGATTAAACTATTTATAAGAGAGATATACAGTATTTATCTTGCATCGAAGATATATACTAAACACTGAGATACACTTCCTTTTACCAACTGTGTATAATCAGTCTATTAAAGACAATGACAGTGAAGGTCATTTTTGAATTCACATACCTTAAGTATTTATAATCGCCCTCCTTAAATATTTATAACAGTCATTCAGGATCAAGAGGACCGCATTTGTTACATGCCTGGCATGGCATCTCTCACAATTATAGCATGACAGCATATTAAAGGAAACCCACATTCTGCACCGGAACGACTACCTGAATCGCTGACAATGAACTGCTTAACATAACTCTTGACATTGTGCTGCTGCCTCTCACCTCCTGGGACCTGCGTTCAGATTCAGGAGGAGGGCATCTTCAGTTTGCATATGTGGGTTTTCTCTAGATACCCTCCTATACGCTAAGAACAAATGAAGGTTTGCAAACACAAGGAGGTAATTCCCCCATCTAGTTTTTTTGGTTGCTATTAGTACTGAGCCGTATTGTTGAAGCCAATGCCCTGAGTTCATTCCCAAAATGGCTGGAAGAGATCAAATACGTATTACCAACCAAATGGGCTAATCGTTTGCAACCTTTCTTAAGTTCTTAAGAAACAAACAAAGAAAAGGCCATTGGGCCCATTCAGCTTATTTTTTTGGCAACCTATTTTCTACAGTTTCAATTTCAATGATAACACTTTCTGTTTCTTCTCAATTCATTCTCTGTCCGTTATAGTCTGCTTTACTGGAATTGTAACCTTTGCTTCTGACTCTGGCTGTATGGCTTCATAATATAATTCAAGTCATATCATATTATAATCACAGATGCCTCTTGGTTCTCTCACCTCTCTCTGTCATGATTGTTTCACTGTGCTAAAATGCAAATAAGAAACGTTACAAAACAGCTCATTTAGCAGCTAGGAGATACTTGGTCGAAGGATCTCATACCCATCCATTTCTCTAAAGAACCCAGTGTATAAGCTTCAACAACTTGGACTGGTAGCATGTTCCACACTCCCAAAGCCCTTCAGATACATAGGTTCCTCCTGATGTCCATTTTTAAAAGCACTTTCATATAGTTTGCACTTGTGGGGTCTGGTTCCTGTTTCACTGTTCATTCTCTGGGTCCTCTGGTTCATTCAATCCACTGGACAGACTTTAACACTGCTTTGCTGGATTTTTAATACCTCTACCAGGTCCCCTTGTGAATAGAGGTCTCCTTTAATCAAGACGAGAAAGGTTCTGTTCCTTCAACCTGTCAGTGAAGGACATTCCCTCAATTCCCAGAATGTATCCTGTTGCTTTTCTCTGGATTGATCCCATGGCAGCAGTATTGTTCCCATAATATGGTGACCAAAATTTTACACCGTATTTTAAACAAAGCTCTGCCCCTAGCCTTGTTAAAATTGCATAATGCACGTCCACCACTAAATCTATACAGCTGTTCCCCCTGCTTAAGAAAGCAATCATTATCCTTGTCTACCATTTACATTTCATCCCTTCTGACATCCCTGAAGAGAATAAAATACCACAATAACCACGTCTTCCTTTACACATGCAATTCTGATATTATTATTTACTGTAAGACATTAATCAGTTTCATACTAATGTCTGTGTTTGGTGATTTGTAACATAATCCTAACCCTTTGTCCTCCGAGGTTATTTTTGATGTATAGTACAACACCTTCGGCTTTTCCATTTTTCTTGTCTCTTCAGAATGCTGCGTATGCGTTAATGTTGTATTTGTCACCATCACTCTCTGTCAGCCATGTTTCAGTGATTCCAATTTGATCATAATTGCATTCTAACGCAGTAGCTCCTATTTATTGTATTTTGCGCCTAATCCTCCTGGCATTTGGATATAAACCCTTAATTACCTGCGCTTCTGACATTTTGTTTTCCCTTGGGTTTTCCTTATGGCTCTGCTCCCCTGTGCGGTATCTGCCTTGCTGCTTTTCTTTGGATTCTTCCCCCCTCTTTCTATTGCACTTTCAATCTTGTGGAATTTCTCTGCCTTTTGGTTCCTATCTCACTCAGATGTAAAACCATGCTGGTCAAGTTAAATAGTCTTGATCTCGATGCTTTTGGGAGAAGATCCAGGTTATAGAAATGCTCAATATCGATAATGGCTTACTAATAATGGATGGACAAGACTTAAAATGGAATGTAAATGATAAGTGTGTAGATATAGTATACTGTGCATGTAGAGGAAGACTAGGAGTTAAAGATTTAACATGCCTAATCATGTAAATGGAGAATTTTTTTTAATCCCAGTAAAGTGCATCATTGTTACAAAGATACAAAATACGACAGCATGCTTAAGACAGTGTAGCAGCATGACTAAAAAAAAGAAAAAGACACCAAAGCTTACCAAAAATATTCGTTCAAGTTGATCCTGAATATCCTTCATTCCTGGAAATGCAGCAACCCCTTGGATCATTTCTACAAAGATGCATCCTACTCCCCTAAAGAGGAAAAAGAACAGAGGTACAGTAAGTAGGAAAGCCACGGTTACTACAAGCTTATTAACACGAATCTGCAGAGTTTGACATGGACATGTAAAAACCAAACCTGTAAAAACCGTCTCAATCCTAACTGTCAACATCCATCCTTGATTTGATGAGTTTACACTGATAATGGGAATAGAAGGGAGTTATTTTAATCATAGGTAAATCAGAAAAGCCTTGGGGCAGACAGCTCTCCATGAGGTACTGTAAAGTGATCCTATCCTGTGTTCACCTCCATACTGACTACAGCTTAACGCCATAAAGGTAGAGATTGGCATGGCCATCTTTCTGTAACGATAAATGTACATTTCAAATTTCTTATATATTTACAAGATAATATTAAACATTTTGGTTTTTATTTTACTATTCTGGAAACAGATCTAGTGGTCTAGCTGTCACTCTGAAAAAATACAAAAATATTTTATTTAGCATTCATTTTTGAGTTGTTTTACTTTTGAGTAGTGTGCGCTCTCTGTGATATAGAATGACTCTCACGAATCCTGAGTCACCTCACAGAAAAAACAAAAAATACTAACTTAATTATGATGCAGGACACTGTTGAATTAGAAAATGTTTTGTGCCAAGATGTTAATATTGGCATTTCAGTGTTTGGTAATACCTGTGATTAGCAACACATTTAATAAAGCAATAACAGTATAACAGAGTCCATGGTAAGATAAATGTCTCCACAATTACAGATGTATTTTGTCTGAATGCCAAGCGAATATGTAAAAAGCTCAGCATGCTTTGCTATGCAAGAAATGATTCTGCTGAACCTGTCCCTAGGTGGTTATTAACAGGAAGGGGATTAGAAGAATTATGCTGTGTCTGTCACCTTGAATGCTATCGAAAGAATGGTATCGACTTCACTGTCACTCATCATTTAGTCTGATTACAGCTCCATTAAGCACAGAGGGACAAAATAAATCTCAATCACACAAACAAAAACCTAATTTATGAGGAATGTCTCATATTATGCTGTAGTGTTCGCACTAGAGGCACCCTTTTTTTAATGGCCCAATCCAACAAGTTTAAATAAGGAGGTTTTTTTACTGTTTAAGAACAGTAAAGGTAATTCAGCAAGGGCTGTCTATGACAGCTATTCCCATCATGGTCACCTGTAAAGTATTCTGAAATGGTTTTAAAGTATCTATGATTCTGAGCTCATCGTGAGTGGACTTCTCAGAACTTTACAACATATCACCTGAGACAACACCTGCTCTACCTGTCTGAAAGTGTATGGATCCTGCGTATTGGTCATATCAGTCACCTTTAGGTTTATAGAAGATAATTTCACTGCCAGTGAAAGATTTTGAAATGAATGAAACTTGTTTTTTTAATGAAAGCATACCTAAAGCTAATACTATGAAATATTAATGTCTCTAACTCTCTAATGTTTTTTCTTTATTTAAGTAGGTAGCTCAATTAAGAACATATACTCATTTACTGTAAAATGATGACCCAGAGACCCATTTATAGAACAGGAAAATTTTTGCTGGAGCAATCTGAGTGATCTCAACTGTACAACAGGATTTTAAGCGGCTAATGATCCTAAATATGTCTTAACATATAACATGCTTTCAAGATACAAGCCCTGAATTTGAAGCTTAAGAGATTTCTTGCGACTTCATAACCAAATATTAAACCAAACAGTGGGCATGTAGTCATTAAATCTGCAAATAATTCAGCACTTTTATTTTTCCTATTACTGTACAGTACTTATTCTGTAAAGAATATCTTCAGAACAACTTGTTTTAAAATGCCTAAAAACTCAAATTACTGTACAGTAATTACAAATGTATGTAAATATTTGTTGTGTACTGCATGTAAATATTTGAATGTATATATTTACTTGGTATTCAAACCCAGGGCAAAAAAATACTCATCCAGCTTTCTTGGATAAAAAACTGGAGTGCAGCTTGTGAAATCAATGGTTTATACAGTAAGAGCCCTGAAATCATGTCATTTTCTTAATTACGCAAAGACTGCCAGAACCTTCCACATATGCCTCCTGCATTTTATATTCTATAGTTGTGATAATATATCATAAGCTGGCCAAAGCAATTTAGGTCTGTAAGAAAATTAAGAATGCACTGAAAAGGAGGTGGAATTATTGAGTTTCATTGCTCTCATAATAGATGACCTGTTCTAATATAAATGACTAACACTCATACATGGAACATTGGGTTCTCAAAACTCTGTCTCCATTTCCTGCAGACATCAGTGAAGTGGTAAAGTAACCTGAAGTCCCATCCACCTGCTCCCCCATTTCCCCAGCGGTCTCTAATTGCCCCGAGTTTGATACAGCTGGGGTCCTGCACAGCAGCTGCCCCCAAACTGGCGGGACCACAGACAGAGACACGGCTCATTTATCATTTGTGAAGCATCCCCAGAGCAAGGCATTTAGGATTTCCCACTGCAGAGAGCCCGAGTGAGATGGGAGGAATCCCCTCTTCGCGGTCTCAAGCCATTTTAGCTTCTTGTCACTCGTCAATCCGCAAGCTCTGCTGAAATTTATTTTCATACTTTAAAACACTGCACTTTGCAGGGGAGCCAACCATTCAATAAGACACTTGGCTCCATAAATTGTTCTTTTTTCAATGTACCAATTCATACACTACACCCTGCACGGAACTGTGCATATAACAGGACACTTAAACAAGGAGATAAGGTTTACTTGAAAGAGGGTAAGAAATACTGGTATGACTCCCCTGTAAACACTACAAAAAAACATAAAACAACACGTATGAAACCCACAAAGCAAAATAAAATTTCATAAAAGCACCGGGACCACTGTTACTAAGCTGCATCTGTAGAAAGTTCTTGTCAGCTCTCAAGTCCTTAATGGTGTTTTCCCATCATTTGCAACCTGATTTCACTCTAGCTGGAGCTGTGCTCTTCAGCTTTGGACTGAAACTATGTGTTGTCATGGACTGCAACGGAAAACGGCGGGTCTGTAATAGCACTTGCAAAATTGGTCATGCAAAGGATGACTCATGTCATTATACTGTGTTGCTTAGGGCTCATGAAGGAGTTATGGTGGTGTTTTTGGCTTTATTCTAGTAAAGCGTTACCAAAAAGAATCAGGAAAATCATAATGGCCACTGTACTTTGTGTTACTACGCAAAAATGAAACAAAATGCTAAAACACCATCGGGTCTCTTTTAAAAACCGTGAAAAATTTGGAAGCAAAGCAAGAATGCCATAGACGGATGGCCTCTCAGGCAGGTGCAGTACCTACCACATGTCCAGACAGGTGGAGTAGTCTGTGGAGCCCAGGAGCACATCTGGAGGTCTGTACCACAGAGTCACCACCTCGTTGGAGTACGTGTGGCTGGGGACGGACTTGGCTCTTGCCAGGCCTGTGAGAGAAACACCCAGAGATATGACACTACAACGATTACTTGAACCAAGGAAGAGGTGAGAGAAATCAGCAGTAAAATATATTCCATATTGCTCCTCATTCAAAGTTGTCTCTGTAGAGCCGTACAACCAATTTGAGAGTGGCTTTGGATAGCCAGCTTGCCTTTTACTGACTTCAGAATTCAGAGCTGCATCTGCCTGTTCAGAGGTTGTGCAGTTATATAAGCCATGTTGTCATGCTTTGTCCTGCATTAGCTGTATAACCCAAGAGGTGGTGCTTCATAAATGACATATCACTGAGGGCAGTACATTTTTACTGGGAAATTATCAAACAAAATTCCATGGCGCCATTGTATACCACAATCATGGGATTACTTACCACAGAAAACGTCCCTTTTCACTATCTATGTTTCATGGAAATCCTTTCAGCAGTTTACTGAAATAAGCCTAAATATCGGCAGGCACTGGTCTACATATCAAAGAACAATGAATTAAATAGGTTTGCTCTATTTTCACAAAAAAAACAATACCTGCCCTGCTTGTTTCATGTGTTTTATTTTTAGTTCCCAAATAACGGTGACAGCTGATGCTCTTTATAAGAAATATCTTGCTAGGGGTTATCATTTGAAAGACACTTCCAGGTTATTTACATTTTCAATATATTCAAAAGTTTCATTTTATATGAAAAGATAAAAAATTAATAAAACTAAAACAGTTTTGTGAAACAAAACATCTCTGTGCTGTGCCAGACATCCTAATAATATATTTCTGACATTACAGCAATATCCTGTATGGCTAAGATAATAATAAGATAAGATTATTAGCTTTGGATGACAACCCAAAATATGCAGCTCATGAATATTTAAGACTTCAGCATTGTGGTAAGTCCTTTTTTATCACAGTTGGAATTTTCTAATTAAAAGTGTTTTACATAAAAATACTCTTCCACCCATCTGATTGAACAGCTTATTGTGCACTTTGTAAAAAATGCAATTAACAAAACACGCACCATTTAGAGTCTAGATTGAAGATCTATGCATGAACTGAATCTAATGTAGCAATAATGTCAAATATCTTTTTGTGTACAAGTCAATCTAGTAAGTAGAGTAAATAAAAAGGAAAGAACTGACTGAGCACACGAGACTAGGTGTCAAATGGAGGCGTCACAGGTACGAGCCTGTAACATGTCACCAGCCGACAGCGACTGGGATTGATGACACAGTGACCCCAGTGAACTCCCTCTCCTCCCATCAGTGCTGAACCTCTCGTACAGGCCTTCTTCAAAACATCAGCAGCTCGAAGGTCACTGAGTCAGCCGACGCTTTCTAATATTCCATAACCATACGTGTAGTTAATAACTGAGACCTACCAAACATACTTTTCAAGATTCCCGCCAGAGTTTAGAGCAACTTCTAGCACAATTAAGGTATACTACTGAGGTACAGCTTCGGCAGTTTTCTTTTGAAGGACTCTTAAGAGAAGTAATTTACGACAAATCTTTTTTTAACGGCAATATTAAAAACATTGAGTAACAATGGCCTTTAAACATTGAGTTTAAAGGCTACCAAGAGTGGAGATGATAAAGGCAAGTATTATTTATTCTATGGGATGTTTAGCAGCAAATACTAAGGGTATGTCTCAGGAGGAATGTTTGAGGTAGAAACTTAGCGTCGTTGGGTACTTGCAGAATAGTGTGTACTTTGGGTTTCGGGGTCTTTTCAAACTCATACAGTATTTACAAAGAGCGTTACGTGAAAGTGGAGACTGTATGTTCGCCCAGCTCAGTGAGAAAATAACCTTCTCTATTGATCCAGGGGCGGTTGCCATGGCTACACCACATGATAAGCTCCGTTATCTTTTAAGAAAAGGACACAGCCCACGGGCTGACATTACATTTATATAGGTATTTAAAGTCAGTTTTAAAAGATGTACAACACAACACAAAGACACCTAGCTGTGTGTAAAAGTGGATGCTTTGACCAATCCATTCCACCAATTCAAAGCCAATACTTTGTTTCCAAAGCTATATATCCACATAAAGGTCAGTGGACCTGCGGACTGAATAATATATGAGCGCGGGTCTGAGGCTCGGATTCTGGCTTATTATTTCTTGGAAAAATCAGAATACAATTTACAGTAGTTATCAAAGTGTAAAAATATTACTGGCTATTTTTATCCATCGCTTAAAAATTGTATACGTTCGGTTTTATGTAACCTAGTGATGGGATGTCCATCAGTACAGGCAGTCATAGTTCAGAAAGTTCATAGAATGCATGCCGCCAAGCACCATTTAAGTGTTAAAACCTGTAGAAATGGAAGAGGGTTTTTTTAAAAAAGCCACTGTAATAGACAGCAAGTGGATTTGCATGCAGGCATCGGTAGCCTGAAAAAAATACAGCTTCAAGAAACTACTGTCTTTTCATTTTTCCTCTGAAAGCTAAGACCGAGTCCCAAGTGAAGGCTTTTCTTTTACCTTAAGTCATAATTATGATTTAGTCTTAGAACAAATTCAAGTTAAAAAAAAGAATACATTTATGTAAGACACAATGATATTTAATTTTCTATGTGTACTTACAAAAATCAATTCAGAAATCCATATTACTATGATTTTTAAATAATTCTGCGTACATTATCGTGCTTAATGCTTCACATTATAATGCTATACTTGGTATGATTTACATTTATTACTAGAGGACTGTGGAAACTTAATGGCCCTGCATAAAATTTATTTTTTGTATCTTCAGACATCAAGCGCATTTTGAGTTAATGATTGTTATGATACTAAAAAACATTTTACAATTCAAATTGATTTAATTATATCAGCACATAACGTGGTTTATAACAACGGATTGTGTGCACCTCTCAGGTAATTTATTTCCTGTGCAACAGAAACTGCTAAATAGAAAACTAGTCTAATCTGATAGCAGTCATACATGTAGTATTTTTTTACACTTGGTTGATTTACATTCTTCTCTCTATCTCCCTGTCAGTATTTTAATGAATTATGTTTTAAAATAAATGAAGTGTCATGAGTTGAATTTCTGTATATCATGCTTATTAAACAAAACACAGATTCATCTATCAAATTCTGTCCTTGTCAGGCTTATTACAGTTCCTAACAACCTGGCCTAATTTATTCTCTTTTCAGGGTAAACATACTTATTGAGGCAATACCCACATACAGGAAGCAGGAGGAGAGAGTGAGGAAAGGACGGAGAGAGACTTGACATTAAGAAAATACAGACACATTTTGAGACAGGAAGCCTGTCTGCTAGACAGGTTGAAGAATCAGACGCTCAAGAGCACTGATGGTCTTTGAAATGGAGAAGAAACTGACCAAGGAGACACTGGTAGAATCTAGTGGAAGATCTCCAAGGCATTGGATATTCCATTGTTGATTGTCAAGGGAAACTAAAAGATAATGGCTCATAAACGTACTGGATGCAAAACGGACAGCCGAACAGTAAAACAATACTGTAAAACAATAACAACCAGGTGCATACGTATCAGAACACGAGGCGCATGAATTCATGAATGCAGATGTCTCTGAGGGTGTCTAGACGGCACCTCTGCAGCACATGGTGCAACAGAAGAACAACTGCACCCCTCAAAGTCAAACTGCATCTCTTCCAACAGCATCATTCCGTTACATACAGATGTACAGTACGGACGCTACCACACCTTCCTGCCTTTTCTGCAGTGTTTTCGCTTTATTTGAATGAATTTAAGATTTTTAGATTTCCGAGACAGGGAGGTGTGTCTTAAAAATTGGTCCAGCTCAGGGTTTTTACTGAAGGTTCCATAAGTCATATAAAATATTTCAGTCTGTCACGGTGATGTTTATGGGACTTGAGTCACTTGTACGGTCAAGGTTGATGGTACGCTAAAGCCCAACTGGTCAACTCAAGACCCCAGTCGAAAGGTTTTCTCTTTGTGTAAATGACCATCTGTTCAATAAAGGGCATTATAAGCATGAAAGAGAATGCTCTCGTCCAGTGTCTAAGCAATAAAAGGATGGCAAAAAGGGCATAACAACTTTGGTATGTTCTTGGCCTGTGTTAGGACACGGATCTAGCTGCACAGTGCAAAGATCCTCAGGTGACCCCTGTTAAACCATCCTAGAGTATCCACTTCCTGCCTGACTATGGATTCCATGCCAGGAAACAGGCTAGACACAACAGATTGGGACTGCTGGTATCCATAAGCGCTTTATAAGTTACAAATACTTTGTGATAGGTTTCCAACAATACGGCAGAGAGTCAATCAATTGCAATATAAAAGGAAATACTATTTCAAACTCCAAGCTGCTCAAATGACTGTGATAATGTATCGTTAATAACATTTTCGGGCTCATGTAAGCTGTTAGATTGATAGAATCCGGAGTGAGGTCTCCACCAACAAAGCAGGCATGGTAGGCTTGGCAAGGATTTGAGTAATGATTTTGTTCCACTGTCTCCCATGCCAATTTGTCAAGGCATGTGTCTACCCTCAAGCTGCTGCCTCTCCACCGAGAGGAGTGATTGGTACTCTTGCTCAAGAAGTCTTCAGTCACTCGTCTTTACTATGATGGCAAGGAGGTGCAATCACTATGTGGCACATGAAATCACAGCTGCCAGGGCAAAAGGGTTTTGTGTGAGAAAAGAGTGCTGGTAATGTCATGTTTGTGACACTTAACTAGATGAAATGCACATTTCTAGACAGACACACGATTAACACATGTCTCAGCAGCCACTTTTAATCTCAATTTTAGTTTTAATTGTAACAGGGTTGATAGAGATTTAATTTACGCTCTCTAGAGGCAGTTAAAAAAGTTTAACCAAGATATAATGTAAAATTATACCAAAATCTGACTTATGAAATGCATTATGAGCAGCTGGAATGAGATGTCAAATTCCTAAAACATCCACAAAATATAGTTTAAACTGTTGGTATCCTGAAACCATTCAATACATGACCAAAAATAATCTTTGATTGCTTATTTTGTCAAAATGTTTGTATCACATTTTTTTCTGAAAGAAAACATTATCTTCAATATTAACTTTATCTGCAATTAATGGGTTTGTGAGAAGTCTCAATATAAAATGGCTCATCTATTAGAAGAGCAGACAAAAATAAAGTATTCAAGTAGGGAGCTGCATCAGCATGCGTAGGCTGCAAAGGAACAGGTAACGGGTTTATTCCATGCTGAAAAGAAAAGAAAGGAAACACAACGTTTCCGCTGTGAAGCCTTCAATTCCTGCAACTTTTGCGTTTCATCATTTTCTCAAAATACCAATATAAAACCAGAAATTATTTTCAGCTTTTTTAGTCATTTAATTGCTTGTTTGTTGTTCTAAACTTTCTATAGCAGATGATGTATTCAAACACAATGACAGTTGGACTTTACGCAAAAAACAAGACCACTGTGTCACCTTTGCCCTTCTTTTTGCACATTTAAACTGAAAAACAACAAAATCGACTGATACACAGACATCTCCTGACTTTCTTGCGTTTCCCAATATTGAACTCTACTGAATTCTCCGCTAGCCTTGTGACTCAGGAGTCAAATGACCACAAAGAGCAGTGCTGTGATCCAATTCAAAGTTAGACACTGTCTGTGATTCAGCACACCTATTCACTTTTGAATCACTTTAGCTGCGCCAATAAGATTGTTTTTGTAAGCTCTTACAATAATGAGACACTACAAAATATTTCCCCATTATTTTTCAGACAATGCACTGCAGAGGGTCGACTGTGACTACCTGCCATTAAAATAGCCCACAGTAAAAGTACAAAAAAAACTGCTTGCACTATTTTTAAAGGCATCATTTAAATGACAGCGTGTATTGAAAAGAACAAACTGAAAGGAAATCTAGCGCATTTCAGTGGATTGTCTGGGATCTGTTGTGTTTAATATACTGTGTCTATTTCCTTTGTGATAGGAATGATGCGCCAGACTGATAACACAATTACTGCTCAACGCAGCTTCATCTCAAAGGAAAGAGCATGTTCCCTGTGCGCCTTCTCTCAAGTGATTAAAGGAAAGGACAGATAACGAAGATAATTGAAACCACAGTGGCAGGTAGTTTCATTGACCTCATCGTAATACTGTAGATAAAGATAACTAAACTCATACACTAAGGCAGTTGATGATACAAGGCAATATGATAGCACGTTTTTAAAGACTATTTTATGTAATGTGTAGACTAAAGTCTACCAAAATAATTGGATTTGGTTTATTACTATATGAGAAATTAGAAAATGTATTTTTTTTCTGGAATACAATAGCAAAACATGATTTGCCTATAACATACAGCACATTACTTTATTAAAAAGTGCAAATTAGTTGTATACTGTACAATTGCACCATATGAACACGACCTTACCAAAAAATAATTCAAGAATCTCTATGAATCTCAAACCAATCAAAATGTAAAGAGTGATATGGAAAAGTGATATTAAAATAAAACTACCAATGTTCATGTGATCGTGGGGAGGGCTCCACCTTTAGAAATGGTTAGGTGTTGTCATGCATCAGTTTTTGAAAATAACACCATGGGCCATATGTTTAAAACCTTCCCAATGGTTAATCAGCATCTGGCACAAAACAAGTTTTTTTTTTTTCAAATTAAGCAACATGGACTTGGCAGCCTGACTGCCTCATTGCTGAGAGCAGGACATCCTCTATTGAAATGCCAGACGGGCTGCAAGGCGATTAAGGACCAGCATTGTGGCACTTTGCAGTCCAAGAAGCAGCCATCCAGTATTTAAAATGTCTCTCTCTCCAGGGCCAGACGTTGTTCCCTTCACTCAGAACCAACACACAGGAGTAAAAAAAGACGTGCGGAGTGAGAAAAAAGGCTGAAAAGAAATTCATTTGGACATGTATTGTGAGTTTTGTTTTCATTTATCCTAAGAATGGAGTGCACCAGGTGCAGTACACTTCTCTGGTGGTGATGCTATTACAATTAATTTTTCCAGGGAGCCTTTGTGTGATATCGTCGAAGACACCAAGATTAATTAGTCTCTTTAACAAGAGCAGGCTCAGCCACCCACTGGTAGGAGTGTTTGCTTAATATACAGAGTAATCATGTAAAATATCAAATTTGTATTGGCAGTCAGAACTGGTATTTTGCTTTGGCAGCAACTGTATGTGGCAACCGCTTCCCAATGAAAAGAAACGATTTTCTTGCTGGCTTTTTTTTTTTTACTCATTAAAATATAAATAAAAAGACTAAAGAGCTGACACTGGACCTGTTCCAGAGCCACATTCTGAATATTAGCAGTGAATGAAGCCCCATCTCTGTTCCGCCAGTGGGAATTCTTCCCCCATCTACATCAGGCGTCTTCAGCTGTCAGAGCTTAATTTCCTCACTGCTGAAATGGCAAGGAGCTGCCACAGCTCCAAATCGAGCTCTGCAGCCACATCAACATATTCCAAAGCACAGGACCTCAGCTCATAAAGGAAACCCAGTCAGAAGTATTGTTTTTTTTCTTTAAATTTCCTTTTGACAGTTCGGTTTGCATTCGATACGCTTCACCGTTCTCGCTCACAGGCTCCAGTTCCACTTTGTAAGGATATGATGTTCGCATTAAATACTTTAAAAATATTTTTATGTTTCAAAATATTGCGAACACATGGGAATCAACAGATATGCAGACACTGGTTTTGATTATTTATCAAGTAAGGTTAAAGTGGAGTAGGAGAGCAGTACATTCGTCATTTTTCCTCATCGCCCTGGGAGCTACCTTTCAGTATAGCGGTCTTCTCTGAGAACATCTTCTAAGAGGAGACAACGGACAGGCCTTAGGGAATGGCCAATTTACAATCATATGAAGTACACGGAGGACAAAGAGAAAGTGAGACCTAAACGAGCAAAAAGTTGTTGCTGTGCGTATCCGCAGTCGTTCTGAACTTGTGCATCCTGTGAAGGCATTCTGCACACAACCAAAAACAATGAGAGCACCCGAACTTACCAAAGTCTGCCAGCTTCAGTTCACCAGTGTCACTTATCAGGAGGTTCTGGGGTTTCAAGTCCCTGTGCAGAATGTACCTCTGGTGGGTGTAGGAGAGACCCCGAAGCAGCTGAAATAAAAATAACTGGAACGAGAAAAACAGAATCGCTCTCAGTATTTATATATACCAGCCAATCCAGGACTGTTTGTTTGATCTACAACATACTGTGCAAGGCACAAAAAATGTACAGAATGAACTCCAAAACAAATGACATTGACTTGATCTGCATGACATGTCTCATTTGGAATCTGTCAGAAAGATGAGGCACTCAGTTCACCGATTCAGAGAAGAATGTTAGCTCTGGAGGCTTCTGTAACTGTAGAAATGTCTAAAGTTTACACTATACTGACACAGAGCATGAGATCTTAAAACTGAGGGAAAGGAAAAGCAACAAGTGAATTCATGCTAAAAATCCTGGTTGGGAATGAGACACGTTCTGATCTCTTTTCCATCTGTTTAACCTCCAGATCTCATTAGTATTGCAGGGAATTCACTTTGAACCTAAATCAAGGTTACAAGAATCACACAGTCAATCAGAGATCAAAAGCATTTGACTCGTGGAGTCAAAAGGCTATTTCCGGTTTTACTAATGTACCATTCAATATGAACTGCTTATCTTTTATAATGATTATTAGCATGGAGGATAAATATCTATTTGTCTGTACCAAGCATACCCTTCTCGTTTCCATTCCCATTCCCTAATTCGCCTCTGCTGTCATTCTGCTGTGGGCTACATTCCCTGGATCGAGAGTAAGTTGAGGAGAAAAATAGTTTTCTCCTTGGGAGAACACTGTACTCTAAGAATAACTCAAAAGTCATGTATTATAAACTATTAAGAACACGGTTAATGGTCATCTGCAATTGTTCTCACTCTCACTTAAACCAATCAAGTGAAATGTGCCCTTAAAATAAATAACATTCAAAAATGTGTTGCTTAGTTGATGTTGGGTTAAAGGACTGGGTCATCTTTATAGTGTTGCCTCTTAATTACATTTTCTGTATGAAGTATTTTGAAATAGAAGAAACCCTTGCGACCCCTGAGAACTTTAGAACATATGTACACTTATTAGCCTTCCTGACAACTTTATTGTGTTGTTAACACTTGGTTATTTGTCGTGAGGGGCATCTGGGAAGAGACTGACTTTCTCCAGATATCGTAGCTGATCTGAACCTGTCCATCTGGCTACAGAGAATGGAAGAAAATAGCCTCCAGGCAAAATCATATCTTCTCTAATAAAGGGGCAAGAAGGGTGGAGGAAGAGCTGGGTTCTACTACCACAAACAAAATTCCACCACAGTGGGTACTGAGGGTACACATACAGTCAATAATAGCCAGTGGCACCCCAGGAACACAGGAATATAGATATCAGAGAACTAGGAACTAAGCTGGATTTTTCAAAGAAAAGAGCAGACGTCAGGAGAAAGTCAATGGAAGATTGTGTGTTTGTCTTTAAGAAATTCTAAACTAAACCGATTTATTCCAGTCATAAAAACGATTTCCTCGGGATATGGCTTTCTTTCACACATGAGACTGCTTAAAGAATGAAAATATAAAGATAAAGGGCTAAAAAAAAAACATTCACAGAAAGTTTACAGTTACACGGTTCACAAAAGGACAGTGAAGAAAAGACAGAAAAAGTTTATAGAGAGAGAAATGAGGTTCAGGTGATCATCTGTGACTGACATTCCTTTCCTAGTAGCTGTACAAGTACAGATTAGATTGTATGGTACATGTCACCAGAATCAGGTTTAAAGTTCTCTCAAATATCCTGCAGAATACTCTCACACGTCTCTGGATATTGATTCATGGTAGACAGCTTTAGGAAACCAATGGCTCATGGTTTTGCTTCCGCTTTATTTTTATAAAAGAGGCAGAAATTCTGTGTTTTCAGTCATCAGCTATCATGGCTATGACCATGCAGAAAGAAAAATATTGGAAGCAAGCAAACTATGTCATTTAAGGAAGCTGTGGGTGGCAGTTTAGTCTTAAAATAATAGCAGCGTTCTTAGTGGTTTATAGGTTTTCAACTCTCTAGATACCCTGGGCACTAAGGAAATAACACATGCACTTGAACTGAACGACACTGAGTGGCAAAAGGTTTACCAGCTTCAAAGACTTGTTTGATAAAGGCCACCTCTGCCCTTCCACCTGCTCGTCATCATTAACCAAATCCCAAAGAATTCACACAACCACTTATTTCATACCTACTTTTATCCGAATACATCACAACGCCAAAAGGCTGGACAATGCTTTTTTATCAGTTCGCTCCAGGGATAACTTTAAAAAAATCCTTAGATGTTGCTGCAATTCAGATAGCTATTACAATAGATTTGAAGGAAAAATGTATTCCACAGCTTTACTAATTATAGTTGCCATGGAGCCCTGCTAGCATTCGATTAGGATCAATTCAGCATGAAAAATGAGACCAGTAATGTAAAATTGAGTTTCCTATCTGCAACTTATACTGTTATGCGCAATCAGAAACCAAGAGATAGCGATGAATACAATTTTCTATTTAATATTGATCTTTATGACATTGTTTTATTTTCTTTCAAACAAGCCCTCTTTTTAAACAATTTCAAATAATTATTAAATGTTCTTATATCATAAGCTGGTAAAAAGATCCTAAGGAAACTTTAGATGCATATTTAAATCTTTAAGATTTTTTCTTCATCTTTTTTTCTAAAACACTTTGCAACTGCTATTGACATATGTCCCAGAAATCGTTTTGAAATGACATCATCCGAAAGAGACTAAAGCCAGTGATATCTTCAATCCAAATACCATTTTTGTAGTGTTCATTGTTATAGATATTTACATTTTGTGCCCCCTACCTGTGTATTTCCTGTTAGTAAATCTGTTTTCTAAACCTAAAGCTTTTTTCCAGTACAGGGTCAGGGGGAACCAGAGCCTATCCCAGCAAGCAACGGGTACAAGGCAGGATACATCCTGGACAGGACACCAGTACTATATCGCAGGGCAAATATAGACATACTGTATATACTTACACCAGGGCCAATTTAACAGAAGCCAATTAACCTACCAGTATGTCTTTGACCTGTGGGAGGAAACCGGAGCACCTGGAAGAAACCCACACGAACACAGAGAGAAGATAAAAACTCCATGCAGAGAGCACTGTGGGGATTGAGCCCAGGGTCCCAGCACTGCGAGGCACCAACACTAACCTCAGCTTCACCGTGCCGCCCTCCTGTTACTAAAGTAACAGATCATTTCTCTGTACAAATTGTTGAATTGTTAACATTTAGAAGTGCATTGGTTTTATGTTAAATTCCCTTTTTGGGGAAAACCATAATCATAGCCACCACGTTGAATGTTTCCAAACTGACTTTGCATGTAAGAAAAGTAAACCATAGAATAAGATTCCAAACCAGTTTTCATCCTTTTAGAACTAGAAATTCGATGTGTCAGAATGGAAATAGATCGCTCACATAAAATATACACACTCTTAGATAATTCAGAAATTCCAAAACACAGACTAGTGCAATTTTTCTCCATCTGGAAAAATGATTTATGAAAGAGCCTTCAACAGTGCACAGAAAGCCATGAGTTTCAGAGCTTATTTGTATAAGTAATCACTGTGTACATACAAGATTCACCCAAACTGTTCCTGTGCCAGACACAGTCCTGAGGTGCAGCAGGCCTGGCCTCTCTGTCAGCTCTGTCAGTAGAAATGATAGCTTCTGTTGTTTGAACAAGACATTATGAGGGTGGAAAAATACAAAACACTTGCCTGAACCAAGCTGAGAGTTTTCTTTAAAATTCCCCCCCCTTTTGTGCCAAATAAATGAAAAAAAATAATTGTAAAACCACTGTTGTTAAATTTAGTTTTCAAAAACAGAAGGAAAGAGCAAAAACACAAACTGCCAATCCATTTGTTTTGTCCATTTCATTTGCATATTATAAAAGCATAGAAACGTTTGTTGGCAATTTACAGAGATTAATATTTCAAATTAAGAATGATTAAATACGGAATAATTTTTCCATGACTTTTTAATGTGATTAATGCCGCATTCACAAAGATGTTCATGTATTTTGAACTTCACATTTACGTGTGATTGCTGCCTCTCCTTTCATGCCTATTTGGACTGGAGACCTGTCAGGAATGTACTTATACACCCAAGTGATCTTCCCAAATTGCACACAGTTCTTTATTTATATATTACAGAGTTAGAATGAGTGTTTACTACACACATGGCTTGAAATCCAAAGTCATTTCTGGAAGACAACATGGGTATCAAATCGACTGAGAACCTGGTCACATCTGTTTATCTAAAGAGGCGAGATTCTCATTTACTTGAAACCATCTGTAAAAGACAATCTTAATCTGGCGTAACATTACTCTGTCAGCAATACACCTGCTTTGTTCCTTGGACTGTAAATGAAAGATGGAAACTTGTTAAGTTGTAATCAAACTCATAGCTTTTGCATTAGCATATCCATTACAGTTAAAATCTATCTCCACGTTCCTCCTCCTGACCAGAACTTTTATTGAAGATGCCATATGTTAAAACATCCTCATCTCAGTCAAGTAAAAAGAAGTAATTGCCAAGATCCACTTAAGGGAAAACATTAAGAATACAGTACTCAGCAGAGACCCATCTATCACCAGAAAGCCACTTTTCCTGGTCATTTTCACGACAAGTCAGCGCCTTCACTAGCAGCAGTCAGGGAAGATGACTGCTCAACCTCTGGATGAGCTGTCAGTCCATCACAGGGTCACAGAGAAAGGGACAACCTAGAACAGCCAATCAAACCTGACCAGCATGACCAGTGTGACCGCGTGCAGTGGGAGGCGCCGCGGCAGGCACCGGTAAAAAGTCAACGCCCCGGTGGGCACTGGTGTGAGGTTAGCAGGGACCAAAAATAACACAAAACAGAGGTGAAAAAGAAGACAAAAAGAGGAGGCGCCGCGGCAGGCACCGGTAAAAAGTCAACGCCCCGGTGGGCACCGGTGTGAGGTTAGCAGGGACCAAAAATAACACAAAACAGAGGTGAAAAAGAAGACAAAAAGAGGGGACAAACTAACAAAAAGGCCAAAAGAAAAAGTACTGCTGTGCTGCGT